CTGACTAGTTTTGCTGTAATATTGGGAGCCACATTACTGACTAGTTATGCTGTAATATTGAGAGCCACATTACTGACTATTTACGCGGTACCGTTGAGAGCCACATTACTGACTATTTACGCGGTACCGTTGAGAGACACATTACTGACTAGTTATGTAGTAAGAATGAGAGCCACATTACTGGCTAGTTATGCAGTAATATTCAGAGACACATTACTGTTGTGGCTCTGAATATTACTGCATAACTAGATAACTAGTCAGTAAAGTTGCTCTCAATGTTACTGCATAACTAGTCAGTAAAGTGTCTCTCAATGTTACCGTATAACTGCTTAGTAAGTGGTAAGAATGAGAGCCACATTACTGACTATTTATGCTGTAATATTGAGAGCCACATTACTGACTAGTTATGCTGTAATATTGAGAGCCACATTTCTAACCAGTTATGCGGTAACATTGAGAGCCACATTACTGAGTAGTTATGCAGTAACAATGAGAGCCAAATTACTGACTAGTTATGCCGTAAAATTGAGAGCCACATTACTGACTAGTTACATCATAATATTGAGAGCCACATTTCTGACTATTTACGAGATAACGTTGAGAGCCACATTACAAACCAGTTATGCGGTAACATTGAGAGCCACATGACTGACTAGTTATGCAGTAATATTGAGAGTCACATTACTGTCTAGTTATGCCGTAACATTGAGAGCCACATTACTGGCTAGTTATGCAGTAACATTGAGAGCCACATTACTGACTAGTTGTGCTGTAATATTGAAAGCCTCATTACTGACTAGTTACGCGGTAACAATGAGAGCCAGATTACTGACTAATTATGTGGTAACAATGAGAGTCCTATTTCTGGCTAGTTATGTGGTAACAATGAGAGTCCCATTACTGAATAGTTATGTGGTAACGTCGAGAGCCACATTACTGACTAGTTATGTGGTAATATTGAGAACCACATAACTGACTAGTTATCTGGTAGTATTGAGAGCTACATTACTGACTAGTTATGCTGTAATATTGAGAGCCACATTACTGAGTAGTTATGCGGTAATATT